TTCGATCATAAACGAAAATGACATGTTCATCATTAATTAATCATAGCTAAGGATCGGAAGCTCCTGAAGGATTGAAATAAATATCATATATATATATATATATATATATATATATATATATATATATATATATATATATATTATATATTATTCCAGGATCATTTTCCAACTTATTCAAGATGATCTTCGGCCTCTCTAACCTTCTAACTTTTTGTCCTGGAGTAACAAGTTGCCTCACAGGTTTCACATACGATTTCATTTTCAAGTTTATTTTCACTGCTCTTTGGACTTTCATAGCTGAAACTCCTCTCTCACGTGCTACACGTCTTATGGATTGAGTTGGATCTTTTTAATTGATCTCTTTAGCTCTAAGTTGAAATGATGATCCCTCTTCTTGTTGTGACCTCCTGATCCAGTTTTCCTCTCTACTGTTCCCTCTTTTTTTTTTAAACTTATTCACCATTCTCTTGATGGTTCTTGAATGGACTTTGAAAATGGAAGCCAGAGTATGAATGCTGTTACAATTATTGAAGGCCTGAATGAGTTTTTTCCTCTCACCATTGCTCAGTTGGGAAGACATTTTGACACAAAACGATTTTAACCTGTTCTTTTTTAGCTGAATAACTCAAAGGATTTTTTTCAGTGATTCTTACGACAAATGGTGTCAAGATGGCTAAACGTCTTATCTGAAAACCTGGAAAAAGAAACTCAATTAGTTTAGTGTTTTTTTAGATATTAAACATTTTGTGGGATGGACAATTATGCTGTTACATGATTTGGACAATTTTTTGTTATACCCGGTATATATATATATATATATATATATTTGATTTTCCAAAGCGTAGATGAATTTATGGCACAAGGCCAATTTAAGTATGGGGACTTCCTAGTGAGGAAATCAATGTCCACTTTTCAGTCGTAATATATATATATGTATGTATGTGTGTGTGTGTGTGTGTGTGTGTGTGTGTGTGTGTTGTATGTGCATCTTTAGGAAAAATTTCTAAGGGGGTTTAGTATCATTTGTCATAGAAATTTTTTGTTTTGATGATTGTTTAAGTCGTGAAACTGCCAATCACCATATAATATTGATTGTCCCCAATGTTTACATCGTTACAAACACTCGAACTCCCATAAGTACAGTAATTTTGAAATATGTATAGATTACTGTTCATGGTTGTTAAAACTAAAAGGGTTGTTCTTTTTATGATTAGAAGTTTAAATTACCCTGGGGTAGGTTAAATTTGTGGCAAATTTTTACACATGCATATGGAACTTGTTTTTTTTTCATTTTCAAAGAATATTTTTGATTTTTTTTTTTTTAATATCGGAAAATAATAAACATTTTCAGACGTTTTTCTTTTTTTTCTTACATTTTTTGATATAATTTTAATTTATGTTATTGACTTTTCGCCGATCAAGGAAATCTATGAGAAAAAAAACCCTTTCCAAATATCCTCTTCCTCTTGTTATTTTACCAATCAATAGAAGAAGAAAAAAAGGAATGCGATCGTAACGACGGCTCGTCTCGTCAACACATCCGCCTGAAGGAACGCGACACAGCTTTGCGCATATTCTGTTCAATATGATTTTCAAGGGGAATAAAAATGCGATGGGTAGTGTGGAGACCACACTGAACAATGATAATAATAATAACCTTCCCCGACCACCAACATATTCTCACCACCGACGCAGCTGAGATAAATACTGCCTGCTTCCATTGATATATTTACTTGTATTTCTGTCTATGCGTGAGTTGAGTACAGCTGATGGCATCCGGCTTCTGGTCCCGTTTGATGCAGGCCGAGTGTCGAGCAAAATGATTCAGCAGTTTCAGCCACACACTTGGCATTAGATCATCATCTTTGTTCAGGATGTGCAAAAATGTCTGTGTGTTCGCTTGTGGCGCTACTGAGTCAGGTGGCAATGAATGGGAAAAGAAAAGAAAAAAAACGTCAAGATCCTAAAAGACCGAGGATGTGCTGAAAAGGGTTTCAAAAATAACTCCCTTCCCCAAATGTCCAAAGATTAGAATTTAGGCCGAATCTGCTGTATTGTTTCGGTCGAGAACTTTTCACTGCATCCTTACAAGCCAAGATATATCTATGGAAAAATATTTTAAAAAAACCCACAAACAAGGGAGCTCCATTAAGACCAGTAATTTCACAAATTCGCACATCTATTAACAGTATCTCCAAACAATCTAACCATATATATATATATATATATATATATATATATAGTTCTAGCCTCTGTTATCGAACTTCTACTAGGAGTAGATAGACCCCCCCCATAACCAATGTATATTCTGAGACTACATTACACAGGGTACTTGGATAAGTATATTTCATTTTGATCAAATGGAGTCCCCGGGGGCGAAGGAGAAAGCCAGAAGATGGAAGTCCCATCGGCAAGATCAAAGTGTGACAATATGGACGTCAAGTTGAGCAAGAAATCACCAATCAGGGGGTAATACCTTACAATATATATTTGTTGCGACAATTCACTTGTCATATCAATGTTGAAATCTGCTCATCAATTCATTCAATCAAGTATTGCATCGAATACATATTAAAGAGGGGTAGGATCAAGCTGTTTTTGCACACACACACAAACTGAAAATTTGTTTCCCTTTGATTTAAATTAAATTTAAATTTGAACAAGGGAATGTCTCTCATCCAAAATATAGGAGAAAGCCAGAAGATGGAGGTCATATTGGCAAGATCGTTGAGTAATACTGAAATCCATCATTTCTCTCCCCAAATTATAAAAGTGGTTTAAAATCAATCAACAATCAATATATATATATGTGTGTGTGTGCGTGTGAGTGCGTAAGTGTTTAAAATTTGCTATTAAATATTTAAAATTAGGGGGAAAGTGCACAATATGAAATGGTCTGAAGATCGTGAAGAAATCTAGAATGGGCACCATGCAGTGTTGATACCTATGTCCATTTCTCATTCATATATATATATTTATATTTATATATATATATATATATATATATATATATATATATATATATATATATATATATATATATATATATATATATATATATATATATATATATTATATATATATATATATATATATTTGTGTGTGTGTGTGTGTGTGTGTGTGTGTGTGTGTGTGAATAAGGTATATTTAGGCACCAAATATTCATCCAAACGATTTTGATTTAAAAAAATAATATATAAGGCGAAGAAAACTGGAAAAGAAATAAAAAAAAATGAAAAGACAGACCTTGTCAGTTCTTTTTAATCAAAATAGTTTAGATGAATATATATATATATATATATATATATATATAAAAATTTAATAAATTTGTAAAACTAACGGCATTTTTTATTTTTGTTTATGAATACAAAATAAATGACAAAGTAAGATTGTTACATTTGGCTTGGAAAAGTCCATCAGAAGGCGAAATTGTGTTAGGCCCATACATATATATATATATATATATATATATATATATATATATAGAGAGGCAGAGAGAGAGAAAAAATAATAAAATTGCTGCTCCTTTTTTGAAATCTAATTTTTTTGGTGGATAGACATATTAATAAAAAAGTATAAAACTAATAGATCAAATCAAAATGAATAATTTTTTCAATAGGGTTTGGGTTATTTTCATAAAAATCCTGAAACCGTCTCTACCTGGATATTGCGCCAAAAAATCACGAAATAAAATAGTTCAAAAAAATGTCCTGCAAGTCAATTTTTTGATATAATCTATCATACACATTTATAAGTCTCTTTTTTTTTTTAAAGAAATTTGAATACTGATGCCAACTATGGCCTGGTGTTTCTCTGATGTATTTAGAGATACTTCATAAAATCTAAAGAAGAATCTGCAATGTTATCGGTCCTGAACTAGCATCTCGGCTTCACACACTTTCTCAGCGCCATAACATAGCTTCCCTGTGCCTTTTACTATAAATATTTTCATGATAATTGTTCTGATGTGCTTTCCTCTTTGGTACCTAGACGTTATGAATTTAAGCGCAGTACTAGATTGGCAGCTAGGTCTCATCATTTTACCATTGAAATGGCCAGTTGTAACCGTAAGTTTTAAATTTAATAGTTTTTCTCTGTATTTCCCTTCCATTCAACTTTTGTTTTTTTGCTTTCCATTTAACTTTGATCTTCAAAGATTTAAATGCAATGTTAATCGTTATCTTCTATCTTCTGAATTCCCGTTTTTTTATTTTATTTTTTTATTTACTTAATAGTACTTTTTTTTCTCATATTCTTTCACACTCCACGCGGCAGGTTCAAGGACAAGCTAGAGAAAGACCAGAAGCCTGGTGATCAAAAATTGGTTAAGTTAGCTTTGTAAAACTTTCTTAACTCAGTGGCTGGAACCACCGTTGCGCATCCACACATATTTACCACATGGCTATCCCAGGAACTTGCAGTATGCATAATACCCACTATTCTCAAAGTCTGTACAAGAATAAAGGCAAATTTTGTCTGTGGGTGACTACAACGCCCAACACTATGAATTTGCATATAATTTGTATCTCCCAACCTGGTTTTCATGGTCTCAATTGAGGAGGTACCAAATATATTCATGGTGTATTATTTAAAGCCTAAGTCCTCATGCACAGTCTTCCCATGTTTACCTCAGTATCTTTATCTTATGCGAGTTTATGTCTTGACTACAATAATAAATTTAAGAAAGTAGAAGTGGAGAAATATCCGGTTGAATTTTTAAGCTATCAACAATGAAATGAATATTGGACTTCATATCTTCTGGTGGTAGAGATTGTAGGACAATGTGAGTAAAATGATTTTACTGTTTAAAGACATTTTAATACGTGTCACTAATTTGATTTTAAGAGACTCCAAAATTCTTAATCTTTTTTTTTTTTTTACAGTTTGCGTTGCATTGGCCATAATCTAACAGAAATTAGATGTAGTATCATGAATATGTGTTAAATGATTATATGCAAAATAAATCTCAAGATAAATGTTGTGGGTTGACAAATACAGACTTACGGTCACATCACGTTGTAACACCGGTTCTCGTACGATCACCGAAGTTAAGCAACGTCGAGCCTGGCGAGTACCTAGATGGGCCACCGTTTGGGAATATCAGATGCTATAAGCATGGATGTGCGAGTGGTGTAATGGATAACGATTCCGAATTGGAGATCTGAGTTCCAATTCCAGTCGGGTGCGTTATATTCATTTACGTGCAAATACTATTGGGAAAATATGAATCCACCTCTTCTCCCCCAGCTATGGGTTAATTAGAAGGACTTGTATCAGTAAAAATCATTATTATCGCAAAAAAAATTCTTACAATCTAAAAATATTTTCTGGGTTTAAATAACCTGCAAAAAGTTGATAAACCGTAAAAAACAAATGAATCAATTGAAGAATATATCTTGATTATCATTATTAGAGAGTATCCGAGTAGCCTTCATGGAATTTCGAATTTTTTTTTAAGCAATTCAACCCCAAGCAATGCGGGAAGCCACTAGCACGCAAGAAGTTACAGAGTGTTGGAGCGAGAGCAAATAGGAGTGATAGAGGAAAGGATGAAGAGAAGGATAGGGGATAGATCAGGTCATCTGGAGACGTCGATTGACATTACATTTGAATATTTGGAGATTATAGCTATCAGGGAAACAAGAAAATGGCAGGGAGTTCCATAGGCGAGAGGTGTGAGACATGAAGCTATTGGAGTAGAAGAGATGGCTACATTTAACAGCTTCGACAGTGAAAGGGTGTGAGCGAGATGCCAGCCTAGGAGAATGCTTAAATTCATGAAGTCTGGGTACCAACGTAGGCAGCTCATCGGAGCATTTACCATGAAAGTATTTGTGAAAAAGTGGTAAAGGCATGTCTTTGAGAGAGCGGCTGCAGACGAGATTCCAGATCAGGGCCAATTAATTTTCATATCCGTGAACCCTTTATTTAATCTACGCGTGTAGATTGTTCTCCTTCCACTGACCATGTGTAAGGATATCTTGTGATAACAACAACGATGAGGATATTATGTAAATAACGGAAATAATCTTTGCTCCTCATCCTTGACATTCAGACAGAAAGAAGAGAAGAATATTGTTAACAATCACTAGATTGAGAGTTTTCGATATTTGTAACATATGACGAACCTTAGGCAATTTATACAATCTACAGGAGTTGTATATCTAATAATTATATTTCTGTATTGCATTTCTACCTTCTTACATTGAAAATGTCCAAAGATGTTAAAATGTACTCGGAACATGACACATAATTTCTGCAAATCTCATTCTCAATTTTCACTTGACATCAAATGATATATTCGACTCCAAGAGAAACTAACCAAGATGTTTAACAGACATTCTTTCTCCATTCTATTTTAATAAAATGTGTGTGATCCCATTCCAAATGATCTTCCTGGGCAAGACGATAAACTAGGTCCACCAGCAAGGCCTCTGATCAGGAAGTTTTGAGGAGTGTGGAACCACCTCTTAATTGCTGGTGTTCCCAGATTCACTCTGACCTGTTAGGGTCCCAACTATGGGTAAATAGTGAACACCAAACTGAGGTCAAAACACTATGAAAGTGTAAAAATAGTTTTTAATACCAGAAATATTTTGTAAAACAATAAAAAATAAATTATGACCAGTTATACATTTTTGAAAAAATATTACCAACGATATATATTTGAGGAAAAAAATATTACCAGAAGTAGATATTTTTGAAGGAGAAGATATTACCAGAAATAGATTTTTGAAAAAAAATATTACCAACAATAAAAATTTTGTCGGCATTAAATAAACCATTGAGGTTGATATGCCGTAAACCAAACCAAACCAAATCAAATGAAGATTCTCAGCCTTTGCGCTTTGGGGCCAACCAGGATATGACTATAAACTAAATCTGGCAGCAAGACCCCCTGATCAAGAGGTATTGAGGAACGTGGAAACACCTCTTAGTTACTATTATTCCCAGATTCACCGTAAACCCAGGGTAATAGCAGCTGTTAAGGTTCCATTTATGGGCAAATAGTTAACCCCCAAACTGGGGTCAAAACACTATGATAGTATAAAAATACATTTTCATAGTAAATATAAAGCAATACATTTTTTAAGAAAAACTACCAGCAATACATTTTTGTAAATGAAATTACTAATGGTCCCAAGAAAATAAAATTTCGGCATTAAATGACCCATAAGGATGTTGATGTGCCGCTAAGCAAACAAACCCTTCTCTCTGGGGCCAAAAAAGTTCTAAATCCAATATCCAAAGAGCTTTCCTCACATTGCATTTAAAAGGGTCGGGCAGAGTTAATCCCTTATACCTAAGGCGTGCCAGAAAAGAAATGCTGAAAGATGTGGACAGTTTCTGGAACTAACCGTAACTGCAAACCCCAAATTCAAATTTGACCCCGTGGGAAATTGGTTTTTAATTATCCGTGTCCAAAAAAAAAAAAAGAATCATGTATAATACGTAGTGAAATTTACGTTTTTTTTTTTTATCCCGTAACCCTTAGGGTCGTAGGGGCACAACGTGTACTGCAGTAGAAGTGGTATTTCTTGGGCAAGATAGCCTAATGGAACCCAACCTTTCCAAGCCGGTTTTGAATTTAGAGTTTTTCCTTCTAGACCGGTTGTCATCCAAAACTGTCCTGCTATTTACCCTTAGCTGGGGGTGGAGAGAGAAGAAGAGGATTCATACCTTTCCCAAGGGAAATGTAAATGAATGTAATGGATCTGACTGGAATTCGAACTCGGCTCTCCGATTCCTCAATCCAAGCCGATATACATTACTCCACCAACATTTACAAAGTTAACCCAAATTTTTAACATTTGTTTAATATTTTATCCGGTTGGCATCGACTAAATTAACGAGAATTCATTTAGTTCACACTACATTTTGAAGCACCTAATTTATGCAGGAATTTATTTAGAGCTAATGTGCGGACATGTTCAAACAAAAAAGCAATAATCTTGTGATGAACCTCAGCTCCCAATAGGAGAAACAACATTATAAACAACACACATATCAGTGACGAGTCATTATTTATCTGCAGTATCGTAAAACTTCCAGAAATAATCGTGGCAAAGTCATTAAAACAAATTGCATTATCAACGAAATTAACGACAGTGAAGATGACATCCCTTTTTCTTTAGGAAGAAGGATAAAATGGCTCAGTGGACGATGAGATCGAAAACATCGATTACGCTGACAACATTGATAAAACTGTCGAGAATTCAAACTTTGATATGGACAGCAGTGTAGCAGATTAAAATAATTTTATATCCATAAATAAATTCTTAAACCAAATACGGCGTTTGGTTAGTGATTTAAAATCTTTGCTACACAGTGTAGTTTGTTTGGATCTGATTTTACCATTCTGAATATGGCGACGCACGCGAGAGGAACAAAAATTAATATTTAATTTAATTCTTGTGTATAATACGCGCAATCTAACTTGTATGTTTCAAAATCTGCGGGAAAGCGTTTTTATTACATACGAATAATTCCGGTAAATAACTTCTCGGCCTTTCGGTCAAAAACTGTGTGTCATGTCTTATCTCATACACTCCCGATATATATTGTCTAGATCTAAAATATATTTCTACCTATCTCATTTTGTTTGTTTGTTTGTCTGTCTATCTATCTATCTATCTATCTATCTATCTATCTATCTATCTATCTATCTATCTATCTGTGTCACTGTTCATCTATCTCACTATGTTCAAATCTGTGTCACTGTTCGCCTATCTATCTATCTAGCTATCTATCTCACCCTGCTAATATCTATCTATCTATCTATCTATCTATCTATCTATCTATCTATCTCACTCTGTTCAAATCTATCTATCTATCTATCTATCTGTGTCACTCTGTTCGTCTATCTATCTATCTATCTATCTATCTATCTATCTATCTATCTATCTATCTATCTCACTCTGTTCAAATCTATCTATCTATCTATCTATCTGTGTCACTCTGTTCGTCTATCTATCTATCTATCTATCTATCTATCTATCTATCTATCTATCTATCTATCTATCTATCTGTGTCACTGTTCATCTATCTCACTATGTTCAAATCTGTGTCACTCTGTTCGCCTATCTATCTATCTAGCTATCTATCTCACCCTGCTAATATCTATCTATCTATCTATCTATCTATCTATCTATCTATCTATCTATCTATCTCACTCTGTTCAAATATATCTATCTATCTATCTATCTATCTATCTATCTATCTATCTATCTATCTATCTGTGTCACTCTGTTCGTCTATCTATCTATCTATCTATCTATCTATCTATCTATCTATCTATCTATCTATCTATCACAATCCGTTTATTATCTATTGATCTGTCTCGCTATCAAGCGGAGTTAGTAGCAATGACCTCGAATTACAGGTGTGTGTGTTTAAGAGAGAGAGGTGGGTAGAGAGAGAGAGAGATTTCCAAAGTCCATTTACACGCAAATATCGAGTTGAGTAGGTTTAGCTTACTAAGTATCATCGCAGGCAAAAGAGGGTTTCTTTTTTTTCTCTTCCTTTTTTGTGTTGTATTTTTTTTCGTTTTTTTTTTTTGTGTTTGTTTTTTGTTTTATTTTTGTTTTGCCAAATAGTAGGAGAGGCTCGTTTGTCGAGCGAAATGTCACACACCGACACAAGAGAGAAGTGAAGTTGAATGTGGAAGTTTGCGTTATCTGGGACATCGACGGGAGGGGAAGCAAGAGGTAGACAAGTTGGGTGAGGTTGGCTGGAAAGAGTCGCTTTCAACAGCTGTGCTCGTCTTACTTTTGAAACAAAGAAGAAAGAAACACACGTAAGACGAAATAAACAACGGGAATTTTTTTTTAAATCAGAGAAAAATTAAATTGCTAAAAAAAAAAAAAGAAAAAACGAAAAAAAGTGTACAGAATGAAAATATAAAACAAAATAAGCCGCTTTTTTAGATTTATCGACCTGGGATCCAACGCCAAACTCTAAAAAATATATTATTATTATTATTATTATTATTATTATTATTATTATTATTATTATTAATAATAATAATAATAATAATAATAATACGATTTTCGATGCACTGTGAAGATGCCGTCAGTGATCTTTTATATCCTGGTCGTTTCGGTTTTTACAAC